CGCCGCTGGCTAGTTTGCCTATACCCAAAGGGTGTTGGGAGTCTATCAGTATGGACTTCCTGTTCGGTTTACCGAAGGATTCGTATGGAAATACGGGTATTGTGGTCTTTGTTGATCGTTTGAGCAAGATGGCTCATTTAGCGGCGGTGCCAGACACCATTGATGGTGAAGGTACAGCGACGCTGTTTATCGATCGCGTGTTTCGACAACACGGTCTGCCGTTGGCAATTGTCTCTGATCGAGATCTCCGCTTCACTGGGAAGTTTTGGAATTCCATCTTCAAGGTGCTCGGCACACGTTTGGACATGTCCACAGCGTATCATCCGCAGACCGATGGTCAAACGGAGCGCGTTAATCGTGTCATTGGTGACATCTTGCGTAGTGTTTGCGCTGAAACACCTAAGCGTTGGAGCTCGATGCTCCCTGTCGTTGAGTTTGCGTTGAATAACGCTGTGCATGCCTCCACCGGCTACACCCCGTTCTACGTGAACGGTCTCACACACCCTCGCGTTCCGTTAACGCTACCACTACGTGGTTCAGGGCTTGGTGGGGGAGGAGTTGCCGATCGGCTTGCTGATATCAGCCCTGCTACTGTTCAAAACCAGGTAAGCGAGTTTCTCGCAACGCGATTGAACGTCTTACGACATGTGCGTGACGCACTGGCTGATAGCCAAGATAAGCAGAAGGAACAAGCAGATGACAAAGGCAGAGGTTGTATTGAACGTTATAAGGTCGGAGACCAAGTTCTACTCAATGCTAAAAACCTACCTACAAATGTAGTATCCGCCGTCTTCAAGACGAAGTTGCGCCCGCGCTTCATTGGACCCTTTACGGTCGTCGCAAAGAAGGGACTTGCGTATACGCTCAACCTTCCGCGCAAACTGCGCACACACCCCGTGTTCTACGTTGGCATGCTTAAGCCGTATCGGGATCCGTCCCACGTGAACTTGGAGGCGCTTGCGCCGGGTAGGTTGGATTTGCCATCGGTTGCTGAATCCGTGTCAGGAGGTCAAGCTGAGCCTCCATCCGGGCTTGGCCCAACTCCAACGCCCGAACACGGGCTCGCATTGCGTCAAACGCACTCTGGGTCTGACCCAACGTCTCACGGAGACCACTCATCTCGAGAAGCACCTTCTCGTGCTCCTCCTTCGGTAAACCGACCACCTCCGACGCTGCTCGATGAGCAAGGGAACCGCCAATTCCATGTGGAACGACTCCTGAAACGACGTCGTCATCAGGGTCAATACCAGTATCTGGTGAAGTGGCGAGGGTACCCGGAGTCGGAGAACTCGTGGGAATTTGAGGTACCCCTTCGGCAGGATTGCCCATACGCCGTTGATGTTTTTGAACATCGTGGCAGGGGTCATCCTTCGACCGATATCGCTTCCCACCAATAGTGGTGGAGGCAGGTGGGTAGTTTGGTTCCGCTTGACCAACTCCCACTTCCCTCGGCACAGCCGGAGCATAGCGGGTGCGAAATCGCAATTGGCCTCCGGCCTTAAGCTTGGCATAGTCATACCGAAGCTTTCGCTCTAGACGAACATCTGCCACATTGGCACTTGCTCTGAGAGCTAGCATGCTGCTGAGGTGACGTTTCCGGTGCACCCAGCGCACAAAAGTGTTGTCCTTCTCCTCCGGAGATTCGCCTGCGAATAAGAGGATGGGTATACCCCTCATCGGTGGCACCGGTGCACCCCGTGCTTGCGTGTCAAGTCGCAACTTGTATTGACTTAGAGTCGTCAAGTGGGGTTGCAGGTACCTCTCACGAAGTGCCTGTCGGCTCGCCACTTCATCAGAAGATGTCGGCTCAGCGCCAATGGCCCACGTTGCCAGGGAATGACCTGTCGTTTGGCGTATACGCTCTTCCACATTGAGTGGCGTGAACTGATAGCCACGACGACCCTCAAGGTCTGCAGCAAGCTGCATACGGCGCTGAGCGCTCTCCTCTTGTTGGATTACCAACTCTTGTTGCTCATCGAGCGGGTTGGTGATGATGTGTTCACCTGCATCTGTTGCATGATGCTGGGTTTCTAACGCGGCGGTCTCACTACGCTCGGCAAATGGGTTTGGTGCAGTTGGAGGCGATGCCTCTTGCACTGGTGAGTTGGACATTGTCCGTTCTTCACCACGGACATAGGTATCACTACCATAGTCCTCCTCCACATTAATGCCGAGCTAAGAAGAGAGAGTCGGGGACTCGTAAGGTGGCGATGCCATGGTGTTTCGTGTTTTGCAAACCGTGAGGTTAGAGTGCACACACACCGTCCTCTTCGAGGGAAAAGTTCGATTGACGTTTTGTGGTAACGTCAGTCTGGTGGGGGAGGGTGTAACGGGGTTACACGTCGGCTGGTAGCCGACGATAGGTGTGGGGCACACACGAGAGGGGGGGTACCCTATAAGGTAATATTAGAACACAGTGAGCGTATCAATTGTTGAAGACTGGTGTCTGTCATCAATTGATTGCAAGATCTTTTAAGAGGTTATTTAGGGCAGGTTAAATACGTTGTTCTAAGGTGTTCTTTTAGGTTAAATGAAGAAATGAAATTCAGTTCCCATTTTGATCAACAAAAGACACGTGCCCCTCTGAGGCGTCTTGCGATCGTAAGGAAGTAGCAACGCCTTGTTAAGGCAGCTACTCCTTGTGCACTTAGTGCGTTCGATTCTTTGAATCGTTTGGTCCACCTGGAACAGGGACCGTAAGCTCTTTGAGCTGTTGACTCTCTGAGTCGGGTTCTCTGAACCACCTTTAAGCTCTCTGAGCTGTTGACTCTCTGAGTCGGGTTCTTTGAACCAAAGTTGCTCATTGAGCGTAAAGTCTTCCTATGACTTAAGGAGCTGTGTAGCTCCGCTACAAACAGGTCGCGGGCCCTTTTAGTTGGACTTGGAAGAAATGGAAGGTGCTGGCTTGGATTGCCTCGTAGCCACTTTGCCCTTTACAGGAAAAGTGTCCTTATGTGGAAGGAGTGAATTCTTGTTGGACTTTGCCGAGTTCGCCTATCTATGCCTGTCTTGCGGTGCCGCAACCGGATAAGGCAATTTGCTAGCCCCAGCGGCAGTGGACAATTGCGGGTGCGGGGCGACTTCAAAGTTAGCCTCGACGAAGGCTTCGATTAATATACCGGTGGGTGTGAATTCCGGTATTTCTTGCGTTCTCCACGATAAAACCATACAGCGGTAGACGGTCCAGCAACCGTAGACAAGGCCGGAGTCGTTTACATTCCACTAGCAGGTGTGGAGGCCGTGGTACCTCCCGCTTGCCGAGGCTAGGGATGCGCCTGTGAAACCTTTGTCAACAGGCTTTTTGTCTCCATCCTCTTTTAACTGCACCGTCGCTTCCGCCAGAATCTCCGATATCCTGTGTACGTGCCGCAGGCGGTATTGAATGATAAGGTGGGTCATATTTAACCCACTGACGGGTTGGGGCGCCAGTGACATATCGAAACCCGGACGGTGATGATCCACCTGTAAGTTACCCATGCGCCTAGTGAACTTGGCACTAGAAAGATAAGGGAATTAGCAGGTAGAACAGGGAACGCGTTGATTATATCCGTGAAAGGTGGAGGAAGAGCTCCATACCGGAAGTCGGGATATGCATAACCAGCTGGAATTGTTCGCGACAGTCCACCGTGTCAAATGTCGTCACGAAAAATTAGAATCATACGTTTCCGATTTGTGTCAGCACCCACGATGCACCGATGTCACTGCACAGGACACACTGGACGTCAAAATTGCTTGAATCGTGCTCGCCGCAACTTCATTGACGAAAATCTGCACTTCATTGTGCAGGAGATTGCGACCAGCTGACGTTGCTGGTATCGAAGGGATTTTTATGTTTCGCGCTCCATAGTAACAGGACACAAAAGCTGAAGACGTCCCCCTCGAAACAAAATTGACTTGGCATGCCAACTCGCGGCAGCCGTTCAATTCGGCATACTGAAGTTTAGTCATCTCGTGCTGGCGTAGTAACTGACCTCCTTGGCATCCTTGACAAATTCCCGACTCAGAACGTCGAGGTCCGTCTCTCCCTCACGGCTTTCCAAGAGATGTAGGAACAGCTTTTCTCATCGATATACTGAGGCATGCGCACATACCGAGGTACAATCGCAATGACCTTCCCTATCAGGCAGGCCTCGAATAAATCAAGCATCGCTACCCGCATGGCACGCGGGTGCGACAGACCGAAATCTTGGCGGACACGAGAGCTTGATGCCTCCCATCATCCAGGCCGCAAGCGCCTCATCCTCAAGCGAAAACACCAGACGGCGATCATCTTCATCCTTCTCTATTCAAGCCCTAGTGGTGGTACAGACCAGAACCGCCAGTCGGGCAGGAGTTGCACCTTACGCCGAAGCACCTTAGTCGTGTTGTCCACATTAGCAAAGCCCAATCACCCGGGCCCTCGTCGGGACCTCGCTGCTTTAAGCCGGTCGCGTAGGAGCCGGTCGATCCGATGGGGTCTGCGCCGCGACCGTCGTTGCGGTACGGGATGGCCACGGTAACATGATCAGAGCAGCGATCGTCGGCCACAGTGGGTCGGCGACCTTCGTCTAAAATTAGGTCGTCAACCTCGTCGAGAATAGGCCGTCGGCAGGTCGTCGACCGTCGTCTATCACAAAACGGCGAAGTACGCCAGGGTTAAGGTTGTCGTCAGAGTCGGTGTGGGCGACTGGGTCGTTGACTACAGCCGCGTACGAAATTCCATCACCTACCGCCTTGGGTACGAAATTCCAAATGCCTGACCCGCGGTCGGCCCCAACATCGGGGCACATGGGTGGACCGTCACCGCCCACGCCATCAGACTCCCGATCCTCGAGTCTACCCGACATGGGATCACCCGGCACGGCCATGCTGTCCCCCCTGGAGGAGGGATCAGCAGCGCTGTGCATTAAGCTGTCGTCGACAGTGCAGGTAAGTCGGAGGCACCCTTCCTCGTGTTACGATGTACGGTCTGCGCATTAAGTCGCAAATCTGGAAGTGATTAAAATTTGATGCACGCAATCATGCGGCTTGTGGCCAAGTACTTCTCGAACATTCGCACGTACGAGGCACGAATGAACGGGATGAACGCAGTCGACATGGCCGCTGCGGCCGGTATCCGTGTCGCGGTTGGCGTGCAGCTCAACAATCCCGCGTTGATTGATGGCGAGATTCAGGCAGTGTGCGACGGCTACGCCCGGAACCACTGGGCTATTGAGACAGTCTACGTTGGCAGCGAGAACCTCCGGAACAACGGATTTGGCCAGTACTCGGCGGACGAGCTCGTGGGCTTTATCAACCGCGTCAAGCAGTATGTGGGCACCCTCTTGTAGGATCCGTGCAGCGCATCAACGAGTGGCTGAGCGCCGACGGTGCGTCGAAACTCGCGAACGCAGTGGACAACATCGGCGTCACCATCTACCCGTTCTTCACGCCCGGCGGGCAGCCGTCGGTACAGAAGCTGCAGGCGCAATGGGACCAGATGATGGGCAAGTTTGGTCCGGACAAACTGTACCTGACCGAGACGGGCTGGCCGTACGCGGGCGAGAGCTTCGCCGGCAATCAGCCGTCGCGCGAAGGCACGCAGCAGTACCTGAACGACTACGTCGCGTGGTCGCGCGACAAGGGCCGGTCGTACTGGTTCATGATGTACGACACGACGGCGAGTTACACGGGGGCGCAGCGCGAGAAGCACTTTGGGCTCTTTGACAATGACATGTCGCCCAACGTGAACATCCCGACACTTTAGCTGAAGCGACCCATCGACCGATCATACAGTGCCTGCGTCGTTCCATAACGGTAGACAGTAGTAGTGAGATAAGGCGTGCGTTGTCCTGCGCACGTGTATTTCTCATATACCACTGACTGATCGATCCGAGAATGTCAGCGTCTGCTCTATGAGACTGAGCCGTGAAACATGTTTGTTTCAGACAGACGCAGAGAGTGTTTGAGTGGTATGCATCATCTGCACACTGTATCGCAAGCAGAAATTGTAGGCACTTGTGAGAGGACCTAGAACGGAAGAGAACCAAGAACGTCCATGTGATCCCAAGCTGCTGTAGTTGTAGTATTTGATTGTCTAGACTACTTCTTCTGGTAGTTACAGAAGCGCATCGCTACAAGCGCCAGCAGTCCAATGACAAGCACGAAAAGTGCCAACGCGCCGATGCTTTGCCACACTTCGCTGTGCTTGATCAAGAAGTTGGTTTCCAAGTATCCTTGCACGGTGAGATTCGCAGCTATTGATGGAGGGGTGTTGGTCATTTGCGTGCATCCGAGATCGCTCTCACTACTGCACGCACCAAACACGGCGCTTGAGAAGGCTGCAATACTGAACCGCATCGGTGTGATACGGTACACCCACACAATAGCCGACGGCAAACTGGAGGCGGGAGGGCTGAAGCCCGAAAACAAGTAGCCCAACATGTTCCAGACCACACCAGCAATCTCTGCAATTTCCAAGTTTGGCAGCAAGAAAGCGAGCAAGATGGCAACGTAAGCTTGATGCAGGACTTGCAGCAGCAAAACGAGCCAACAGATAAAGAAGAGGCCGAGTCCAGAAAACCCTACCATGGGAAAAAGCGGGGCCAAGAACAGCAGCACAGAGACGGCGGCATACGGGATCTCCATAACACCGAAGCCGACAAAGTACCAAAACGTACTGTACGTTTGCGACGCTCTCTCACGGTAATAGACGGCGCGCCCTTCTGCTGCAACTGGAATCAAGGCATTGAATGAGATTGTTCCAATGAAAATGACAACCATGTACACCATTCCGAGTCCAGAGTTCACGCTGGAGTACGATTGGTACTCACTTCCAGCGTATGTGATCCCGTAGCCTAGACCCAGCACCAGTGATACAGCAAAGCGTGTCAAATTGAATGAAGGCGTGCGCCAGTAGAGGTTGCTAAAGCGCTGGAACAGGAACTTCAGCTGCGTCAGGTTGGACGCAGCGCGCTTCGTCTCGAAGTGAAGTACAGCCACAGACGCGGACGGACGACAGATACCTTCGGATTCCAAAGTTGACTGCAGAAGCTCGTAGTGCCGACTGGCTCGGAAGCTCCCCGCAAAGTCAGTCTTGCTCCCGTTGTTGTTGCCGACACCAGCACCGATCACTTCAAGCATCCATGACGCCGGATTCGACTTTTCCTCCAACTTCGCTACGCCATCGGTCGACTCGAAATACGCGACCATTTCATGAGCGTTCTCGCCCAAGTCGCCCGCAAATACAGTCTCGCCACCACGTTTCAGTAGTAGCAAACTGTCGAAAAGACCGAAGACCTCTGCCGACGGCTGATGAATTGTACACACAACAGTCCGCCCAGTATCGGCGACTTTGCGCACACCGTCCACGATCAGCTTTGCCGAGCGAGCATCCAAACCACTTGTAGGCTCATCCAGGAACAGCACACTTGGCTGTGCTGCCAACTCCACGCCGATCGTAAGTCGCTTCATCTGCTCCACAGAGCTGCCGCGTATGATTTTGTCTGCAATCGAGTTGAGATCCAAAAGGCTGAGACACTCAGTCACCGAGTCGTACTTGCGATCGTCGGGGACGTCGGCACTCTGGCGCAGAAACGCACTGAACGTCAACGCCTCGCGGAATGTTGCGGACTCCGCGTGGATATCCATCTGCTCACAGAAGCCCGTACATCGACGGATTGTCAGATCCGTAGCAGGATGCCCATTCACAAATACCTGTCCGCGGATCTTGCCACCAGTCATACGTCCTGCGATCACGTTCATGAGTGTCGTCTTGCCAGCCCCCGAAGACCCCATAAGTGCTGTGATGGTGCCAGGTAAGGCATATCCGCTGATGCCTTTGAGCAGGTCGAGGGTTTTCTTGGAATCCGTCGGATCCGGAACGCTGTACCACAGGTCTTTGAACGCCACGGCAACCGGGACAAAGTAGTTGTCCCTTTCGTGGCTCACCGAAAACTTCAACTCGTTGCATCGATTGGACCCGCGTGGTGTCTCAATAGCCACGTAGTTATACGTAGTCTTTGGTTTCGTCTCAGTGGTCAGTATTGCAACCTCAGGCCGCTCGAAGCGATGGTACTCAAGTGCGAAACAAGACAGGACCAAGAAGAAGACGTAGGTACCGATCATAAAGGCCATTCCGCCCCACAACCAGAACGCTCCCGACGGAACTCCATAAGTGCCTAACAAGAACTTCCCCATTTTCATACCGTAGTCTGCACAGTAGTCGATGCCATCGTACGTGCACGTGTCGAAGCGGGAGTCGTTGTATTGACTGACTGCCAGCGCGCGTATTCCCCATGAAATGGGGTTTGCCCAGTACAGCCAGATGAGGTAGCTCGGAATCTGGTCTTTCGTGATCGTGTAGCCCGCAAACACACACACGTACACGACCGCTACACTGGACAAGGGGCCTGCTATGTTGAGATTCGGTGACGCAGACGCCAAGAAGAAGAAGAAAGCAGCGAGTGCGAGGTTCGTCAAGCACAGCACCACCAGAAATGCCGCGAAGCCATTGAAACTGCTCACGAAACCACACATCCAGTAGATGATTGTTCCATAGATGACCGTCTCGAGGACAACGGGAAACGCCTGGTCCACAGCACTGGCAACTACGTACGATGCAGTCCGGTAAAAGTTGGCTCGTCGTTGCTTGTAAAACACTTCTCTTGCTGCCATATATGTTGGAACTTGGGCAGTCTGACCGACAGACAAATTCATCACCGACTCAAACATGATACCCATTGCCACTTGTACATCAGCTAGGTCGGATTGGAAGTAGACAATCGAGCACAACAGGGCGATCATGGTGTTCACGAGCAGACGTCCAAAGAGAGATGAAGCGTCTCGTCGCGTGTTGATGAGCTGTCGGTTTACAAGCAGCGACGTACTCTCCCAGAAGCTTTGAGAGAACTCTGGCTGATTCTCGATGGTGTCTTCCATGTCTTCGACGAGATTCGTACGTACAGGCTTGTCCACCTCTTGAAGAGTCTGCGCATATATTGATGACTGCTCGAACGCTCGAGCGAACTCACTCGGGGCGCGGATCGGTGCACGTTCTCGATCGAGCTTTGCCTCGTACTGGTACTGTTCACTCGTGCCAAGGTTCAGCAAAAAGTCCGCGATATCACGAGTGGGAGGACACCTGAAACCGAGACTGTTGAAGTAGCCCTGAACCTCCGTACATGGTCCATGATACATGAGGTGTCCTGCATTCAAAAGCATCACGTTGTCGAACAGTGCAAACACTTCGGGCGGCGGCTGCTGAAGCGAGATCACCATTGTCTTGCAGAAACTTTTCGTGAGGCTGCGGTACATCGTGATGATGTCGAACGTCGCGGCACTGTCTAGACCCGTGCTGATCTCGTCCATCATCATCACGTGCTTGTTTCCAAACGCCATCTCACCCGTTGTCACGCGCTTGCGCTCACCTCCCGACACACCTCGAATCATCGCGTCACCGACGATGGTGTGCTGGCAATTTTCCAAACCAAGTTGCTGGATTACGACGTTCGGGTAATGCTTTGCCATCGCCCGAGCAGCTTCCAAAGCCCCTGCATTCTCCGCAGCAGTGCCGTTTACTAACTGACTCGCGTCGCGTTCGGACAACTTGCCACCACACGCAGCGTGTGCAAACTCGAGTGTCTCCTTCACTGTCAGCTCAGGGTAGTGTTTGTCACGTTGCGGGACGTACGACACGAGCTGTGGCAACAGGCGGCGCAGCTCTTTTGCAGGTGTGCCGTTGTATGTGATGTCGCCCTCGATCGTGATGTCCTTGTCGGGTGGAAACCGGCCGCTCAGCAGCTTCATCAAGGACGACTTGCCCGATTCAGGCTGACCGAGCACGAGGGTCATGGTGCCTGGCTTGAAGACTCCGGTAACCCCCTTCAAAATGCGCTTCGTCGCCGTGTGTTTCCTGGCGACCAAGCTGTTGACGGTCTTCCTCAACTCGTTCGACAGCGTTGGTAGCTGCGTCTCCTTATTCGTCGCGTCTTGGACCGCGATATCTGCGGAAACGGACACGTCTTTGAAGCGCACCTCAATCTGGGGAAGTGCTTTGCCACGGGACGCCTTCAATCGGGAAGCCACGTGCTCATGGAGTGCCGATGATCCTTGCGCGAGCAGTGTCTTGGCATCATCGTATTCGATGGATGGGACGCCTGCGCCTTTGTGATCTTTGGCACCCATGACAAGTTACTTGCGCGAGTGAAAGCGAATTGGAAAGTGACCGGAGCAATTGCACTAGTTTTTATTGACTGGTCCGAAAATGTCATTGATTTGGAGTGTGGAAGCCAGCACTGGAATTATCATGCGGTAGACAGTTGATGGGCTGAGCATTCCCAAATTTTCACGGTTCAGCTCAAGCCAGGCTTTTTCCCTTCGGGGCAGTCACGTCGGAGGGAATCCTCCCCTAGGGGAGCCGACGGGGTCGAAGATCTGACGCGGGCGCGCTGCACTCGCAGTCGCGGGTGTGGGTGGGCGTAGGGGACCGACGGGTCGCGTAAGCGGCCAAGCAGGGGTGTTTTATGGACTGGAGGCGTACCCCGCGCCACGTGTCGCCGCTGCGGCGAGCGCACACTCCACGTCCGGGGGCCGCGTAAGCGGCTGCAGGGGGCCACCATCGCAGATGGGTGAGCTCCTCGGGGAGAGATACGGCGGGTTGGCGTTCTCCACGCCACGCAGTCACTTCGGTGATCGCACTCCACGTCGGGGGGCCGCGCAAGCGGCTGAAGGGGGCCACCATCGCAGATGGGTGAGCTCCTCGGAGAG